TCACTAAATGACTCGGTACATTCTCAAACAGGTTCTTCCTCTTTCACGTTCATGTGAGATATTTAATGAGCAAACTGGATCATGCTTGCACTAACAGGGGTTCCGTGTTATATACAGATCATTTTCAGTTTTGTTGGGAAAGAGGGGTTATAAACAGGTGATGCAAGATCTAGAACCAAGCAAAGAACCTAACCATTAAGTAATGATATTGGTGTTTGTTGAGGGTGGCCATGAGCTCTTTAACTGGGACTAGATCCTATGCCATCTGTCACGTCATTATACCCACTCATCTGTCTGCTTTACTCACAATGCAGCATGCTTTCTGCTGTCTACTGTATATAGTACTGTATGTGTGACCCAGTATCCCCAGTAGAATGGTTGGTTTTAATGATGGTGCGTTATCACTGCTGCCCGTAGCTGTGCCAGTCAGTAGCTGGCCTCAGCTCACTCTCTCCTTCCTCTCCACAGTGGAGGAGTGCCGTTTCTCCCCAGCCGGGCTCCCCAGAGAGGTGCACACAGAGGCCGCCCTGGCCGTGGTGCAGTCTATGGCGCGGTTCATGGCGGCCTACTTCACCAACGAGCCTCTGGGTGTCCTGCCCCCTCACCACGTAGATGTGCTGCCCCCCGTGCATATCAGGCCAGGTAAGAGTCGCGCCCGCCGCGGATGACAGCTTGTTTATCTTCATCCCGCAACCAAGCCATCATCAAGACTAGTGCCCAGGACAGCCGCGTCCACGTCCACGTAAATGATGAGAATCGAGGACCACAAGGTCTCGGAGTAGTTCTTTTGACATCAGGTTGGCAGACACAGACTTAATGAGCAAGTTAGCATGCACGTATTTCACCTCCTCTGCTTCCACATCGTGCATGAAATGGGATTGGGAGGGGCAGTAGTTTTGTGTCTTTACTTGCAGAGGTTCTGAATGTTCCGTGAAGGCGCTGTCCCATGATTTGCTAAACCTTTCATAAAATTGATTTACATGCGGACCTTCAGAGCCCATATTGGAAGCCCTGGCCATGAATCTGCTGTGCTGTGATGAATTCATGAGCTTTGTCTAATTACTTGTGCCGTAGGCGTGCAGAACGAATTACAGGCAGTCTCTGAGACCTGCTTGGCTCAGGGGTGTACAGTAAGTCTTGTCGTGGTGGCATCAGCAGTAGGGATGACAGAAGGATGGAAGACAATAAAGGCTGATGAAGAGTTTAAGTACCTGAGTAGGAAGATAGATCTGTGACGTACAGTAACAAGGACTGTCTTTTCTAGTGAGCTGATGAAAACCTCTTGTTGATCTTCTAATAATTGACTGATTAAGTCAAGTGGGTAGCTGCATCAGTGTGCGTAGGCTGCAAAGGAACAAGTAAAGGTTTATTCCATGCTGAAAAGCGAAGAAAAAGAAGCACAAAGTTTCAACATGGAATATACCTTTACTTGTTCCTAATCATTGACTTAATTAATTTTTTTATTGATTTTGAGTGAATAAGAAAAAAAAAACACACACCCACACACTGTGCTTTTATTTTAATAGTGAAGTAAGATTTGCAAAGCACCATTTGTAGGCGTTTTAATTTCTTTAGACTAACTTTCTTCGGCCTGCTCATTACAAGTTTGATCTTCAGTCTAAAAGGATTTAATCTCCAGGTCTTCATACCCCCCTGGCCTGGGAGCTGCTGCTTTTCTATGCTTGTTTTAGCTCACAGCTGTGTTCTATAAGGATACATTAGGTATCCCCCTGTGCCAGTTCCAATAACTAAGTACAAATCAAGTTTAGAGATTGTCATTTGGAAAGTGATACTCTAATTGACTCTGATTAGCTATCCCATGACTGCAGTGTGCAGGGATTGTTTGTAGCTGTGCATGGGTAATGGCTGTAGACAGTGCACCCATGCTGTGGCTCTTTGTGTGTAGCTCAACGTCAGTTTTGTGATGGGTATAACCCAGCACATGCATTTTTATCTGTGAGTTATGGGAAAAGATGCCAGACCCTTTACGTACTAAACCCAAAAGCAGGGTTGTGGTAACCTGTGGTGGGGCCCCGTGAGTCAGCTCTGCGCGTTTGTCCGTTCTCAGCTGGGCTGCCTCGCCCGATCCCCCTGCGGCACGGCCGCGTGGCCGAGGCGGCCCGGGCGCAGCAGTTGTCGGGAGTGTGGACGGTGGGGTACGCCCTGGACCTGCTGCTCATCGGGGGGCTGCTGCCCGAGGCCGTCTGGCTAGCCCACCGGCTGGGGGACTGGAAGATGGCGGTTTCCTTGGGCCTGGCCTACATGCTTTACTGTCAGAACAACCTCAACTTGGCAGAGTGAGTATTTAACCCGCACAGATAAAGTAATCCTCTCACACTAACTAACATCTGAAGGTTGGTCATTCCATTCTTAGTCAACTCATTACCAAAATTATTTGTGGATGTTGCTTAATGTTCATAAAAGACATTTATGGAAATATTCCTAAGCGTTGGTCAAACTTTTCCTACTGGAATTTGGTCACACAACATCCTGGTACATTAGAATGCCGAAGCAAAGTTCTTCTAGACTAGAAAAGTTGGATACAGCTCACTCTTGTAATGCAAGGACCATTTTCCTATTAGCTGGAGGTGCCAGTCTTCTGATTGCTGTGGTCTTTGTTCCAATGATCTTCTGGTCATCCTGATCGGGTTGCTATGAAGTGCAGTGTCTTCACAGGCTGAAGTGGAGAGAGCTTCACCTTCCCTTGGAGCTCCGGCCAAAACAGCTCTTTCAGGAGAAGTTGCAGTCGCTGCTGGGGAGTCAGGCCAACCCAGGGGAGTCCAATCTCAGCAGCAGTGCCAAGAAATACAGGCATTTCACAGGTACTTTCACACATACTCTCTCTGTCCCCCAATCAACTGGACACTACATCTGTCACATTGCAAATGTGGCTCAGAATTCCTCACAACTCAGATCTCCTTAAATTGCTGGGTCTTGTTGCTTAGGTGTACAATATTAATGCCTGTGCCTTTTAATTCTGAGACATCCTTTCAGTGAAAGATAAATTGTACAGTGTTGTGACTAAAAGTGCCATTGCCCCACCCCACCCGTTGATGCTGACTCTGCAACAGCTCTTGTACAAGACGCAGAACAGCAATCAGCCCAACTGATCAGCTGTTGGCGAGTTAAAATTTCAGGGGTATCAGAGGAAAATAGTTTTGCTTAAAGTGTTTAAAATGAATAAAGACTGTCAGATTTATATCCTGGGAACAGTATATCCTGTAGAAGACCGGATGCCCACATTGTTTTGTGATGAAGGAAAGCATTTTTTTTTACCACTAGAATTTTAGCTAGCAGGTCTGTTCCTCCTGCTACTCAGTGATGTTTCTGGGAAGATGACTCTGGATTGCACTTACATGAATTGCTTGTTCTCCAAGCTCGAAAGTAGCTGCAGCTACAATGGAACTCTGAGCTGGGGTCCCAGGTAAAAGATAACCAATGCACTCTGTCCAGACTTATCCAGCTGTCACTGGGGAAACCCTTCCACAAATCGAACAGCAATTCTTCTGCAGTAGGACTGACCATTGTATCGTTCTTTCAGTGAGGAGTGAAAGACTTGAACGTGTCTCCACGTGCTCCAAGATCCATAGAGCATTAAAAAGATTAATTAAGCAGCTTTGTAAAGTTTTAAAATCACTAAGATTTGAGCAGATCCCAGGACTGAATGATTCCTGAGTTTAAAGAAAGAGAAAATGTCTCAGAATCAGGTACTTCTCACTTCACAGCAACATGAATGTGCTGAGCAAATGAGGTAAAAGAAAGAATTTAACAGCAGCACCATGAAAACCCCAGCTGAGAGGAGCTTGTTCCCTTTGGTTTCTGTATTGGATGCTCACGTTGGAAGTCTTGATTTCTTCCTTTCTGCCTCAGACTCCATCGAAGAGGAGGATGCAGACCTCCTGTTCGTCTCTGTGCAGGAGATCCTGAAGGCGGCTGTCATGGCTGAAGTGGACATCCTCTCTCAGACCTTCAGTGTCCTCATGGAGACGTCCAAGGGCCTGGCTGCCCAGCTTAGTGCTCTTGTGCCCCCAGGGCTCTACCTACCCGCCCCACCACTGTACTGCCCACAACCTGCTTCTGACCCCAAGGTACAGCCTGTGCCTCGCACACCTTCCCAATGTTTCATTCTTGAAATCGATTAGTCTTGAAATCAAAGATTAGCCAAACATCAGAATGGGTCTGGTTTATAGTACATTTAAAGAGCTATTGTATTAATCACCTTGAAAAATAAAAGATAGCATCTGTCTAGTTAGGTCACCTTGCTGCCCTTCCCTGTTGTGTTCATGTTGGATTCTTGCGTGATGGTCAGCGTCAGTCCCTGCACGGTGCACAAGTCTGGGCCTGCAGGTGTGGACGTGCTTCTGACTGCTCTGTTGTTTAGCAGCTTTGTTATCCCTGCCTCAGGGATGAGCTGTTTGAGCACGGCAGGGCTCTGCACACATATTGCCCTGCAGTAGACTGTAAACGAGTTCTTAAATGGCTTTAAACCAGTCATTTCCTGTGACGGCTGTTTGCAGAATGAGT